ACCTGGTTTCCCGCTAGAAACTCCGCGGTCCGCTCTCTCCTCTCAGTGTAAGCCTGGCCTGAGGATAAGTCTGGCGTCCGGCGCTGGTCACTGCCCCACCGGTGCTCTCCCGGGTAGGGGCCTGGGACCACTCCTGGCTCGTGCTCGGGCTGATGTCCTCCGGCCTCCGCCTGCCCTGGCTTGTCTTGCAGGCTGGCTTCTGGGGTTTTCTTTTGCAAGGAGTCACCCTCTCTGACCTCTTGGTAGCTTGCACTGACTCCACGGCCCTCACGTGGCCCACGGGCTAAGCCTGCTTCAGAGCCCTTCGCCTGTAGGCCCTGATCTTACCTCTCCCATCCCGCCTCCTGATGGGCTGAAGCCAGGCCTGTGTGGTTCTGCTGCAGAGTCACTGCCTCCAGACAGCCTTCCCGGACTGCTGGCCTGGGCCTGCGCCAGGCCTCCTGGCTTTAGGGCTCGTCTCGATAAACCGTCTCCTGTACCTGTCCTTTTGGTGCCTGTCATCCCCATGCGATGGATCAGAACCACTGGTGCCTCCCATCGTTTGAAATCGTCTTTCTCTGTCTTGGGGGAGAAGGCAGGGCCACATCTCCTGTCCCCAGTACCCTGTGCAAGACCTGTGGTCACTAAATATTTGAATTTTCTGCATTTATCACCCCACCGGACTATGAGTTTCTTAAGGGCAAAAAAAAAAAAAAAAAAAGAAGGGGTTGGTCTTTCAGTTCCGCGGCACAGTTCCCATCCCCGAGGGAGCCCGGGCCCCGGCTGGGTGAAGGGCTCTGTCAGCATGCTCACACGAGGACTCTGGAAAGCCCACATCTAGCCTGCGTGTTCTTCGGTGCACGAAGCAGGCCTGTTGTCGTGTGCTGCTGTGTGAACGGACCTTTCCCACCAATAGCTCTCATCAGAACGCGGGCTTGGGGGTCACTTGGGACACGCGCCCCCATGGCCATATTTATTCGGTGCTAGCGGAGTGTGGCATCCCAGCAGGCACGCACACTCTCTCATGCCTAATCATCCCAACAGCCTCAGCGAGTGCAGTCGTACTCCCTCCTTCCGGGTGAGAAATGGGGGCTCTCAGGAGTCTGCCAAGTGCCCAAGGTCACACAGCTGGAACAAATAGTGGGGGTGCCAGGCACAGGAGACTGTGTGAAAGTACTGAATGAGAGGTAAAGCAGAAAACAGTGACCGAGTTCAAGGAGCCGGGACTCCCCAGGGGAAGGCTTTGGTGAGGGGGCAGAGGACTCGAAGTCTCCAAGAAGAAAAGGAAAGGCAGGACCTTGGCTCTCCTGACAACTCATGGTACAAGCTGGGGACACCATGCGTGGTAATACCTATTTTTCCCCGACTCCCATACCTGTTTCTTTGACATATACAGCGTGAGAACTCCGTCTCCAGAATTAGGGACCAGAGTTCAGATCCTGGGTTGACTTAATAGCTGGGTGATTTTACTGAAGGGCTGATGGCTTCACCCACCACCGTTTTTCCCACGAATAAAATGCAAGTAATGTTTGTTACTGTCTGTGTGGTGACTTGCCTAAAATGCTTCGTGGAGTATGATCAGTGTGATGTATGGTCTTGTAAGATAAATCCCGTCCCCACCTAGAGAGTTTGGCTGGCTTTTTGAAGTTTCCTAAGTCAGGGACCCACAGTCCAGAGGTGTTTGCGTATGTACTTCAAGTGCTATCCAGTGTGCATCTGAGGGACTTGTTCTTAGCATAGGAGATGCGACGTGGAAGTTTTTCATGGTGAAATTGGATAACATTCAAGATCTGTAGCTGATCAGAAAGTTGATTGGGCCTTGCCGCCAGGGACTGTGAAACAGAACTTGAGGCCAGTGCCCACGGGGCCTGCGCGCCATGGAGCGTCAGTGTGAGACCAATAGTGGCCTGGCTCTGCCATCAGACTGCACGGTACCCTCCTCCAGCTGAACCTTTGCTGCGAGGTGCTTGTTGGAGGCCTGAAGACAGAGCATGAGAAGTTCCCATGTGGTTCTTTTTTTCACAGCGGCAGTCTATAAAGTTCATGTGTCTGGCAGAATTTGGCCTAAGGTTTGCTTTCTCATAACATATTGTTTGGTGGCAAAGCTGTGGGGAAGGTGGCTGTAGCGACCCCTGGAAGCTTCCTGGGGGCATATAGTTTGCAAGGCCTGGTGCAAAATGAAAGTGCAGAATCCCTTGCTCAGAAACTATTAAGAATATCAAGACCGTGTGACCGCAGAGCCTTAAACCCAACATGAGACCCTTCTCAGTGCACAGCCATTGTGATGACACAGGACACGATGCCTGTGGATGTCCTGCCCCAAATCTGGTCATTGCTGATACCCTGATTGCTAAAAGTCCCTCCCCAGCTTTCCAGACTCATCTTAGTAGGAGTGTTTGCAAGGAAAAATGAGAAATGTCCCCCATCAATAGATGAATGAATACATATGTGGTATACATACAGTGGAATGTTGTGCAGTAATAAAAAAGAATAGGATCTTGCCATTTACAACATGGACGGACCTAGAGGGTATAATGTTAACTGAAATAAGACAGAGAAAGACAAATACCACATGCTTTCACTTATATATGGAATCTAAAAAACAAAAAAATCAGAAACTGACTCATAAATACAGAGAAACTAGTATTTCTCTATGCCATAGCTCTATGCTATAAATACAGAGAAACTAACTAGTTTGCTAGAGGGGAGGGGTGTCAGGGTGGGTGAAATAGGTGAAGGGGATTAAGAGGAGGTGTAAATGTCCAGTTATAAAATAAGTCACAGAGATGAAAGGGACAGCATAGGAAATGTAGCCAGTACTGTAAGAATATCATACGGTGGCTACACTTATCGTGGTGAGTAGGTATAGAATTGTCAAATCTGTACACCTGAAACTAACATAACACTGTTCAACTATAGTAATAAAAGGAGGTTTAAGAATGCCCCCTCCTCCAACAGGGCCATTGAGTGCTGGCTCTGGTTTCTGTGAGGGGTAGTATCCAATACGAGAGGGTATCCCAACTAGCAGAAGTGCCAGCATTGACAGATTAAAAGGTGACCAGATCTCCGCCGGCATTCCTGCATGCCACGGGAGGCCTGTGGGTTCCGCCACCGGTACCCGTTTGAGACCCAGAGGAAGTCGGAGGGAGGGGTGCGTGCCAGGCTGGGGCAGGGGCATGTGCAAGATGCGCAGAGGTGGGAGGAGCCCCATCTGCTTCGAAGCAGGTGGGGGAATGGAGTGAAGAGCTTCCTGTCTGTTTTTGCCCTGGTTCCTTTGAGAATCAGGGGAAAGAGATGCACTCATGCTGTCAATACAATGGGCACATGTGTTCTTGAGCACTTGAACTAGGGCTGCTCCGAACTGAGGTGTGCTGTCAGTACGGAGTGTGCTGGGTTTCAGAGGCTTAGTATGAAAAAAAGGAACGCAAGATGCCTCAATAATTTGTGTATTGATTACCTGTTGAAATAACATTTGTTTATGTCAGGTTCCACAAACGGTCTTAAAATTAATTTTACCTGTCGCTTTTTAAAGTGGCTGCAGGAGGATTTTCAGTTACTGTGTAGCTGTCACCACAGTTAGGTGGTACGTGCTTTAGCCTAGGAAAATGCACAGGCATAGTACACCCTCTCATACTCTCATACACACACTTCCATTGCTGCACACAGCCCACGGAGGTGCCGAGCCTCCGAACACCCCCCTCACCCCTCCCCTGCTATGCCCTGGAGTAGAGGATGAGGTGGGGAGAGTGGGTGAGGAGGTGTGCAGGGCTGGGGCTGTAGAATTTGTTCTTTGAGCACCCGGGGCTGTTGATTGCTTTCCGGCAGTGGGGGGTGATATGGTCAGGGTGCGTTTGGGGACAGTTTGTTGGGGGAAGAGATAGAGCAGGCACTAAATGATTGCAGGACCAGAGATCAGGAAAGTATTTAGGCTGCTGCTATCCTCTTAAATCAAGTTCAGATAAACCAATCTGGATTAATTAAATGCTTTCTTATGAGCCTGAGGAAGAACACACAAATGCACCATCCTCCTTTTGCTGAGAATAAATAATTAAGGTGAACAATGAACTTGAACAGATGCACCTTCTGCCTTTGCTGACCCAGACAAGGCTGTAATTCTCACCTGGGTCCATGGTTGGCCCTCAGCTTGACTCTGGATATTTCCTCTCTCAATCAAGTGCTTTTCTCCCTGGAAGCACATTTCCCCATCAGGAACATTCCAGAAGGAGGCAGGTGAGGTGGTACTTGACAGCTATCAGCCACGAAAGCCTATTGGACAAAAGAAGTCTTTAACCCTTATCTGAACACCAGCTTTTTTATGAAAATAATCAGGATGTTGAGGGTTTTTGGGGTTTTGTTTTGTTTCTTTTTCTGTTTTTCTTTAAATTTCTTTCTGGAAAGTAACTGTTTTGTGTAAAAGAAAATGCCTGCTTCTTCTCGGTCTGCGTCAGAGTGCTGCCTATGGTTTAAGAGTACCGACATACGCGTGTGACGGAAGCACTTGGAGGCAGCACAGGGAAACGCCCACCAGGGGGTGTCTGGAGAAAGGCGAGCCCTGTGGCCGCAGGTAGGGGAGCTGGGGCAAGGTGGTAAAAACCACAGCTGTCCCCTCCTCTCGAGAGCAGCGGTGCGTTCAGAGGATCGACAGTCTTCTCTTCGTTGTAGATCAAAATCCCGGGTAATTACAGGACCAGAGGTAGTTCTCATTTCTGCCGCTGGACCACTGCCAATGCAGGCAGGGATCATTGCTGATTCTTAAGGGCTAACGTTACTCTAAGAACAGCCACCTCTTCTCAGGGACAGAGCTGATTGCTAGTCCAGCTTCCAAAGATCCGTTCTTTAACCTGAAGCACATCAGATTTCTGGTTCAATAAGATTTCTTTTCTTTTCTTTTCTTTTCTTTTCTTTTCTTTTCTTTTCTTTTCTTTTCTTTTCTTTTCCTTTCTTTTCCTTTCTTTTCCTTTCTTTTCCTTTCTTTTCTTTTCTTCTTTTTTAATCGTAACTAACATGTGTTGTTTTTGCAGGGCGAACCTTTCCAACACATCCGTACTTCTCTGCACAGCTGGGGGCGGGCCAGCTCTCACTGTACAACATTCTGAAGGCCTACTCGCTTCTCGACCAGGAAGTGGGGTACTGCCAGGGTCTCAGCTTTGTGGCGGGCATTTTGCTGCTCCACATGGGTGAGGAAGAGGCATTTCACATGCTCAAGTTCCTGATGTTTGAAATGGGACTGCGGAAACAGTACCGGCCGGACATGATTATTTTACAGGTAGAGAGCGCTCCTTATGTGTTTGCTGGAGACAGATGCCAAAACTGTTTACGATCCCTTTCCAGATCTCTGTGAGGAACTTTCCCCACAGTCCATTAACACTGGAGTGGCTGTCGTTGCCGAGCACTCCCCGTGTGCTAGTCATTGCGCCTGCCCGGTGTTTCATATTGCCCTTCTTGCAGCAGCCCTCAGGGAGACACTATTAATTAGCCCAATTTATAGGTGGAAAGACTGAGGCTCAGGTTACCCAGCTAGCAAATGGCAGGGTTGGGGCTTAAACCCGGCCCTGTCTGCCTGTTTATCTGTTGGCTTCTCTTAACACCTCTCGTGAGAAGGGAGGGATCTTACCTGTCTCGGAGCTGCATCCCTAGTTCCTGGAACAGCGCCTGGGATGAAGAAGGCACCCAGTCTGTATTTGTTGAATGAACACATGGCAGGTGGCAGGTCAGAGCAAAAGGAAACCAACCTGTGGTGTGTGCTAAGCGCCGCCACGGCCACCAGTCAGAGGTGGGGGGAGCTCTGACCCTGCTGTGGGATGACCCCGGAACGTTGGAGCATGCACACACCTGTTTACTCACCAGCAAGTTACTCAGATTTCAGGGCCTTGGGAAGTATTTTTTAAAGACAGAGTACATGAGAGCCAGGGACTCTTTGAGAGCATCAAATTGGGTGGTTAAAAATCCTTTCACCTCCGGGGCGCCTGGGTGGCTCAGTCGGTTAAGCATCCGACTTCGGCTCAGGTCATGATCTCATGGTTTGTGGGTTCAAGCCCCATGTCAGGCTCTGTGCTGACAGCTAGCTCAAAGCCTGGAGCCTGCTTCAGATTCTGTCTTCCTCTCTCTGACCCTCCCCTGCTCACACTGTCTCTCTCTCTCTCTCAGAAATAAATAAAATATTTTAAAAAAAAAATCCTTTCACCTCCACCTGTGAATACGAACCACATGAACATAAAATCCCCATAAAAAAAGCTGTTTCACTAAGAAAATGTGGACCCACATAACACTGCCCACAGATAACAGGTGCTTTCTACATTTTCCCCATTAGCTCTAATATAGGTGTGCCTGCCATGTGAGAGAGCGGACTCTCTAAGTTAATTTATATATAGCACATGACCGTCTTTGGGCTGCAGGCCTTAGTGACTAGATTCTTTTCAATCCAAAAAAGCCACAGCTACTCCTGAAGAGGGCTGCATTGTCTGGGCCTCCGGAGACCGTTGTTTTTGCCCGTTTGTAAAGTACGTGTCCAGCCTGTAGCATCTCACTGGGGTTCTGACCCTCTCCAGGTGGTTTCTTTGGGCTCAGCCATTGGACTGCGGAAGCCTGGGCTGAAGCTGGAACCCCTTTGAGCCCCCGGATCCTTCACCAGCTTCCTGTTAGAGCCATAGCAGCCTCTGAAGAGGGGCCCCTTTGGAAAAGTTATTTTCTCCGTCTTGAGAGAAACACCTGTCTTCCTATTTTAACTTGCACAGGATCTGTATATATTTCTTATGGTATAAACCTACAGAAGTCACACTTGTCCTGCCTGTTGAGAAGCCAGGAGGTCGAGAGCGGATTTACTATGTAAGCGGGTATAATAGAGCCCTTCCACGGCACCCGCATATGCCCCCCTTCGCTCTTAGCAGAGAGGCAGGCTTTCCATTTCAAATTCCCCTGGGTTTGAACTTTGCTAGGAATGTGTATTTATAAGAGAATTTGTGAAGTGTTTCCAGCAGACAGATGTTTAGATTCTCTTAGCCAAGGAACACCGGGAACGGTTGAAAGAAAGGAAGTGGTGGGCGGAGCCTGTGCTGGGCCACACCTGGCCAGGATCCGCATGCGCTGGGCACGGAGGACATGCCTGTTGGATAAATGAGTAGTGGAGATCGGTGGCTATCACAATCCAAACAGAATGTTTAACACTGTGATAATTCTCTCACAGCCTGAGTGGGATAAGTAGCTGAACACACGTAGCAGGAATCTGACTGTGACTCCCATGTGTGTGTCCCCACAGATCCAGATGTACCAGCTCTCGAGGCTTCTTCACGATTACCACAGAGACCTCTACAATCACCTCGAGGAGCATGAGATCGGCCCCAGCCTCTATGCCGCCCCCTGGTTTCTCACCGTGTTTGCCTCCCAGTTCCCTCTGGGATTTGTAGCCAGAGTCTTCGGTAAGTGCGTGTGATCTGTTTGCACGAACCGCCCTGCTCCTGTCAGATGGGAAACGTTTAGTCTCGTCCTGTGGGGAGTCTCCTCACTTTCATACCTGCACCTTCTACAAGAACAGGGGTGATTTGACGTTCTGAGTCTAGTCAGTGTTGGGTCTTGTGAAGTTCAAGATCTGCTTCACCTCTAAAACTTAACATAGTGGGGTTTAGACCTGCTCCTCTCACTGCCAGGCTGTCCCCAGAGCAGACGTCTTGAAAGAGTGGCCAGGGAGCCCCATGCTGGTATCCTAGGCGAGTGTCTCTCATGAATCGTCTTCCTCAGCCTCTCTGACCTGCGGCCCTGTTAACTGATGGCTCCTTAAAACCTTTCAACCATGACTTCTGGGCTCTTGGTCTTTCTGTGTTCCCTTTGCATCTCTTCCTCCCGTCTCTCTCCTTCCCTGCCCTTGGCTCTTCATTTTCTCTGCGTACTCACTGTGGAAGACCCCTCCCCGCTGATGACTCACTGCCCCTCCCTCTTGTGGCCCCCGCCTCATCTTCCCAGACTGCAGAGCCCCTTCCACGACTGTGCCCCACTGTGACCAACAGGCAGTTCCCGTTTCAAACTGTCTCCTACTTTCCTGATTTACTTTTTGAGGAGATCATCTCTGTCAGAGTTACACGGTTATTCACGTGCAAAGTCTCCAAGCAGCCTGCAGATGCCAAGGGTAATGATCACATCCACGTGGGCTTCAGGAGCCGAGTTACCCCTGGGAGCACGGGCAGCTCTCACACCGTGGGTTTTCCCTGCTTCAGAGTGAAAGAACCATTTTGACAATTCAGGTTCTTTTTCATTTTCTTCTTAGTGTGAAACTTATTAAAAAATTGATAATCCTCACACATTGAGGGTTTTTAAAGTGCCTCTGATGGGGCACGTGGGTGGCTCAGTCGGTTAAGCATCGGATTTCAGCTCAGGCCATGATCTCATGGTTCATGAGTTCAAGCCCCACATCAGGCTGTCAGCTATGTACGCACAGAGCCCACTTTAGATCCTCTGTCTTGTTCTCTCTGCCCCTTCTCTCTCTCTCTCAAAAATAAATAAACATTTTTAAAAATTATAAAAAAAAAACAAAGTATCACTGATGTTCGATCACTTGATAGCTTAAAAATATGTAATCTCTATGATCTGTAATCATACTTTTTCAGATTTACTTCTAGAATTAGAGACCATCTCAAAGGGGATGTCCAGAAACATTGAGAGAGCACTCCTTTGGCATACTTGGGAAAGACAACTTATAAATGCAAATTCTAGATACCTGAAATTTGCTTTTTAACATAGGAAGGCATTGAGTTGGCCTTTGCTCCTCTTTCCCCCCAGGGTACTAGATTTTTATTCTCATTCCTATCCACAAGGCCTTCTGAAGACTTTCCCATTTGGCTTTATTAGAAGAATCCATGTTCTGAAAATATTCAGTACCTGTTCCCTCCCCAAACCGATTCTTATTTTCTGCCCCTTAAAAAAATAATCATTGGAAAGAAAGAGATACTAAAAAAAAAAAATCTCTCATGGTTAAATAATTCATTAGTGAGATTTCATGAACTATTTATACTAAATTTTAAAAAGATAATTAAAAGCCTCAATTAAAGAAAAAGCATCTCAGAATTGTCTGCTTAGTTTACTAACAAGAGTCCCTGAAACCATGAGATCTCTAGCTGTAGGCTGCAGTCTTTCTTGCCAAAAATGCCTGTGTATTTTTTTTTTATTTTTTTTTTTTTACTTGCTCTGGAAATTAAAAGAAAATCATTAGTGCACTTTGCTTTTTCTCCTGATTTTTTACTGTATTTTTTCCAACAGGAGAGGAGTGAAGACTGAGTGGGGGAGTGAGGGAAGTTGAGGTTAATGGTTTGAAAACAGCTCAGGCACGGAATTATACCATTTGTGAGAAACAGTTTCCCCAAGGGGATTTGGACGGGAGTGTCGGCGCTGAGTTCTCCGCGCCCCTTGCAGATAGTTCTGGAGCCAAGGCCATAGAACTCTGTCCGGGAAAGTCTTCCCTGGCTGCGTAGGTATGAGGACAGAAGACCAGCCGCTCCCATCGGACAATATTCGCACCTCTAAAGCTCATTCTGACGACTTCATAAATTAGAAGCTAAAGCCATCAAAGTCAGGGTATTTATAGTACGTAATCAGTGGTGAGTCTTAGAGGCTCTTATACATTATGCATAAAGATGCCAGTGTGTGTAAGTCCGGGAGCCCCCAGACCCCTGCTGTACGAAGCGGGTATGTGACCAGCTGGCTGAGACTCCTCAGATTGCAGGCAGGAAGTAGGAACTTAAGGCAGCACTGTGTGATGTCATTTTGCAAAAACTGTTAATGTTTTTGGTTTTGTTTTGCACAACCTATTCCAATCCATTTATCAGTACTTAAAACCAAAGTATTTTATTAGTAGTAGGTCCCATAGAAAGTTTTTTGTTTTTTTTTTAAACCACTTCTGTATTTAGCATCGGTGACTCAAACCGTGTTTGTTTAGCTCCATGATGCTCGGTAGCTTAGTTTTAATTGCCCAAACCTGCCATTCATACGCTCTAGTCTTTTTTGGCCCAAAGCCCATTTCATTGTAAGCCTTTAGGCCTGAATAAACCATAAAAACAAATGGACCTTTGTCAACTATTCACCAGTTCATATGTAAGTACAGGATTCTCAGCTTGTGGACAGCGTAGGACAGCACAGCTCGTATATTAATTAACAGGTTACTTTGAATTAAGTATATGCTCCTTGGAGGCACACCAGCCAGTGACCTTCACATGGTAATCGCACTTCCTGAATGTCTGTCTTCCGATTGGGTGCCACATAAGGTAAAGTAGCCTCCTCCTGTGTGTTTCCAGAAGGGTCTTGGGAAAGATGTTTGCCCTGTTCACCTACAAATCACATCCAGCTTTATAAAAAAACAAAAACAAAAAAAACCCTGAAAACTAGGAGCCAACTTGCTTCTGATGCAGGTGGTGGCCGCAGTGCTCGGCTCCTGGTGTTTGCTAAGCGAGGTGCTGCCAAGCAGATGAGGGACGACGTGGGGTGTAAAAATGAAGGCTTTTGCAAAAAACACAGAAGCCACCTGTACTACAGGGAAGGACGCAGACTTTGAGACTAAAATAGACTTAGGAAAACAAGATGATTTCAATGTCCAGGAAAAAAGACTCTCCAGGGAACGTAATACATACAGAGCTAGGGAAGGGAGTTTTTGTCACATCTGCTTGTGCTGTGTCTGCCATCATCCTTCATTCCCCATCCCCGGCCCTGGGAGGAAGGTGGGGCTCTCGTACCAGGAGGACTCCAGCCTCCCAGGGGAAGGTCAGGGAGAGAGGGATTGCCCTTGACAAAGACAAAGGTGGCTGGAAAATAAATGCACCATAAGTTGGCTTACTGGCCACAGGCTTTGTGTTAATGGTTCCCCCTGTAGGAAACTGCACCTTTATATCATGGGGAATTTCAAATGGGGTTCCGATACATGTTAACACAGTAATGGGGCTGGCAGAGTGTCTTCAAAGGAAAGTAGCTATTTGCAAAGTAGCTATTGGCGTTGTTCTCAGCAAATGCTTGCTAAAGTGGTAGAGTCAGCTGAATTTCAGGTTCCCTTTACTTCCTGCCTGATAACACCCTTTGCCTGTTTCTGGGTAGCTTGAAACAGGGGAGGAGGGAAGTTGGCTGCAGGGCAGTGAGCGGTGAGCCGGGCTGCTGGGGTCACTCCTGCAGCTCACTCTCTTGTGGAGTGATTTTCACATGTAGGAAATTAACTCACTTCTCAAGGAGATTATTGGTTTTGGTTTCTTGTTTGAAATGCCCAGAATGGAGGCACCTGGGTGGCTCATTTGGTTAAGTGTCCAACTTTGGCCCAGGTCATGATCTCACAGTTCATGAGTTTCAGCCCTGCATTGGGCTCTATGCTGACAGCTCAGAGCCTGGAGCCTGCTTTGGATTCTGTGTCTCCCTCTCTGTCCCTCCTCTGCTCCTGCTCTGTGTCTCTGTCACTCTCTAAATAAATAAATAAATATTTAAATAAATAAATATTTAAATAATAAAAATAAAAATTTCCAGAATATAAATATGTAAGGATTGGAAGATGAACAAAAATTAAAGTAATTCTTTACTGTTACTTAAAAATTACTTAATTTAGGGGTGCCTGCTTGGCTCAGTCAGCTGAACATCTAACTTTAGTTCAGTGTTTCATGATCTCAATGATCGTGAGTTCCAGCCCTGTGTCAGCCTGTCTGCTGTCAGCACAGAGCCCACTTTAGATCCTCTGACACCCCTCTTTCTGCCCCTCCCCCTCTCATTCTCTCTCTCTCTTGCTCTCTCTCAAAATTAAACATTTAAAAATGTTTTTAAAAAATGCCTCTCCCAACTTTTTTTGTATTCTTCATACAGTCCAGAAAAGTCTAAGTTTATAATGCTAGGGAGCTCTCAGCTAAGTACATTTGTTATAAAAACCAAGATCCTAGCAGAATAAAATTTGGAAGACTCGACATCAGCCTTCAGAGATCACAGATATGGGGCACCTGGGCAGCTCAGCCGGTTGAGAAACTAACTCTTGATTTTAGCTGAGGTCACTATCTCATGGCTTGTGAGATGGAGCCTTACATCGGGCTCTGTGCTAACAGTGCAAAGCCTGTTAGGGATTCTCTCTCTTTCTCCCTCTCTGCCCCTCCCCTGCCTGTGCTCACTCACTTGCTCGCTTTCTCTCTCTCAAACATTAAAAAAAAGATTGCTGATATTGATTGCATGTTTGATTATGCTCATAAAACTTCCCTGAAAATTATGTATCTTAATTGGCTTAGATGAGGCAGTCTATCTAACTGTAAGGTACACGCCTCTCAGAGACTGAAGACACTAAGCTGTGGCAGTTGGTCCGGTGGTATAGTCCTTTTCTAGGACCTTGCACAGAATGGCTTGGTATTCTGATAGATGCCGTCAGATTTTGTTCAGCTATAAATGTTGATATATTGAAGAGAAGTGTCACTGTCTACACCACAGAAGCTTCACCTTTGTTTTGTTTTGGGGGAAATGTCATTTCTGTTTAAAAACACATCTCAGTTATAGTGCTCTTTTAGATCATTTTTATTTTCTATAGTGGTGAATTACATGGGTAGACGGTGTATTCTAGAAAGCCAACATTTTACAAGAATATTCTTCCACAGGGCTGTCTCGATACACATAACACTTCCCCTAAGAAGCTCACATCTCAAAGGTGCCATCAGTTCTCTACTTCATCTTCCCGGCATATACAGCCACCCCTGATGAGGAGGCAGCCCTCAGTCCCTTCCAGCTCCCTGGGACCGCCCGAGCCATGGGCACTTGTGATGTCTGTGGAAGCTGAGGCCCTGAGCCCTGTGAGAGAGACCTCGGGCCTCGGCAGGTGGCGCACACCCTGGCACCAGGTCTGCTGCTGCAGTTGAGGCCTTGGTGAAGGTCCCAGGGCATCTCCAGGCCTAACGTGGTCTGCGGGCGCCTAGGGGTGCGCTGTGCCCAGACCACTCCGATTCAGACACCTTTCCTACGTGTGCACTGGCTTCTGGCCTTTCCTGTTTCTTACTGGCTTTTATGTGTTACCGCACCGAACCACCTAGAGAGGCCAGTGAGGCTGGGGACTCCTCTCACCCACTAACGTCTTCCCTGACTTGAGGAGATGGACCACTCCTTGGTCTCTTCCATTAGCCTGCAGCACTGCCTGCCCCCCATATTGACAGTTGGCCTCTAATTAAGTATTTTGCTCTAGTCATTAAAGTTTTTTTTTCTTGTATTTTTAACTCCAGTTCTTAGGTAACTTGCCTGAATGTAGCCACCAAATAGTTTGTTGGTAGGGCTTTATGCTTCATTCTCAGAACACGTTGAGTCTTTCTCCGGTGGCTTCAGCTCGTGAGGAGGGGGCGCCAGGGCTGAGCTGGCGGTTCGCCCAGGTCCCCGGGCCACTTGCCCTCCCTCGTACCATGTACAGTCCTTGCTAACATGCACCAGCTGGTCTAAGGAAAAGCTATGACAAGAACTAGAAAACAACTCTGGCAAAGTTCTTTGAATTTCTCTGAACAGAGATGGTTTGTACTCCATTATGATGCCAAAATGTAGCATATTGCAAATATTTAATAACGTACTCTTGCAACTCTGCAGACATTTTATAGATTTTAGAGCTTTTTTAATTCCTTATTTCAAAACAAGGAAGAGGAGCATTTTTTACATTTCTGATGCTTTATATCTAAAAATCTTTCAGTTGTACCCATAAAAATGTGTTAGTAACTCCTTTAAAATCCAGAGCATTTCTAGAAAAACAGGGTGATAAAAAGGTTTTTTTCTCTTTAACTTCTGAAGCATGTTTGAATTTAATATATTTTTAGAACAACGACAAAAAAGATTTATCAACCTATGACAAAATCTTAGCAGTATGTTTATTTATATTTCTTTTATTATTTGCAATATTGTCTTGACAACCTTATCTGAAATATCAGGCACTTAAGAAGGGAATAAAGTTTGCAATTTGGACTTACATCTCCCACCATCCTGCTCTGATGTGTGGAAAAGAAAATGCAATGTTAGTTCATCAGAAACTGGTCTGGTTTAACTTTCTGCATTTCTGTGTTTTCCCAGATATGATCTTTCTTCAGGGATCAGAGGTCATATTTAAAGTGGCATTAAGTCTGTTGGGAAGCCATAAGCCCTTGATTCTGCAACACGAAAACCTAGAAACCATAGTTGACTTTATAAAAAACACCCTTCCCAACCTGGGCTTGGTGCAAATGGAAAAGACCATCAGTCAGGTATGATTCGACCCGACCTTCCAAAGGCTTAAGCCATTCTGGATACGAAGACCTTAATTTTCTTTTGATCGGGACCTATCTCCTACCACTTTGTATCCTGGGCAGTATCTTGTGTGATGCCCAGCATGTAGGAAACACACAGACAGATACGTGTTCAGTGATTCAGTGCCTGCCTGAGTGTGCTTCTGTTGTGAATGGGATGGGGATGTGCCACCTGGGAACCTGGTGGCAGTGTTCCGGTGTGACAGGCAGCACAAGTTACCAGTGATTTCTTACAATTAAGAGGCTTCACCCCTAGTTTGTTCTTCTGAAACACACGCGCTATTCAGTGTAGGCTCTTCTACGTGCTTTGATTTTTCCTGCCGCAGGGTATTATTTGGAATTTTCTCAAAACAACCTTCGGTAGCAAAGTGGTGATAGAGAATATGTATTCTAGAAGTTTGTTCCATGGTGTGGCTTTCAAAATAGAAGTCAGTTCCACATCTGTGACTTCAGCACTTCTACTTTCTATAGACAGTAGAACCATTCCTCTCTGAAATGTTAGGGGTGAGGGTGGATGGAGCCAGAATTACCACTAGATCAGTGGTTAAATGGTCTGGGCTAGGGGCTAGAGCAGATTTCGACTCTGTAGAAAGAAGAATATGCTGGTAATGATTGTTGACCCTGAAGGACTGCGCTGTTTCGCAGCAAGTGGATCATCACTGGAAGTGTCCAGAGGCCAGGTGGCTTAGAAAATGCTCTGGAAGGGATTTCTGCACCAGGGCCAGCAGTCAGGCCCCTGCGAAGCCTAAGACTTACCTCACCTGCTCTAACTACAATGAAAACAGAGCAATCAGGTAAAAACAAATAGTGAAACAAAGCTAGTTTTTAAACATCTTTATTCCGAAGATTTCTGATAGTCCGAGATGAAGCCAGTGACCCTGATGGGTTGCACCCAGATGGTGTGTTTGTGGTCTCTTGGTGCCCCTCCTTCAGTGTTGGGCACAGAGGAAGAAGCAGGTCTGACCTGGGAAAGGCGCAGGTGGCAGCCACGTGGCTCTGGGTCTCCACACGTTTCCTATGCCTGTGTGCAAGGGCACTACCTTCCACGCCACACTTCCATTTTTAGTTTATCGATAGGCTCTGCATCCCTGGCGTGTTTCTCTCACTGTGCACAGCTTTGGCCTGTTCAGGCCCTACTTTGTGCCAGGTTCTGTGAGAATGTACGTATACACATGATCTCATTTAATCATGACCAAATCCCCAGGAGGATAGGTGATTTTAACTCATGAGGAACTCCGGGCGCTGAGAGGTAAATTCGCCGGTCCACAGTCGCCCTGCTGCAAAGCAGGATGGGAGGGTTTCTCTTGCCTCCAAGTGATTTAGCAGCTACTCTGGGTGTCATTTAACTACAGAGCTTTTCTGTACCTCACTAGTATGTTAATACTGAATTCTCAGCCCTTTTGGTTCCTTTATGTTTTGGCATTCATGTGCATGGACTCCCTTTTAGAACTTTCACTGCATATACATACGCTTTCTGGCCGCTGGGGCAGACAGAGAGCCTGGGTTACCCAAAGTCTGTGCCTAGTGAATGCCTTGACTTTGCACCTGGCCCTAAGACAGGCAGTCTCAGCTGACATTCAATTTGCCTCCTAGATATTGAGCTCCAGAAAAGAATCCCATTTTTCTTCCCTTTTCTATAAAGAATATTTATTCACAGTATCAAGTTCTCTCTAAATGTTGAAAGAATAGAAGTGGACACAGCATGGAGAGAGAACATTGTGTGTGTATGTGTGTGTGGTTTGTTCTAGGCAACTGTCTTGGACTTGGCATCCTTTACTCCATTGACTCCTTGACAACCCAGGGGCATGTATTATAATCCCCATATTTATAGGTGAGGAAACTGGGCCTGGAAAGAGTAACATCCCCAGTGCTCCCGTTTACAGTGGCAAAGCCAAGAATGTAATGTCTCTGACACCAGAGCCCATCCTGCGCAGGAAATAAGCATGTAATCCTGTAATTTCAAGTGTGGTAAGAGCCACAGTGGTGCCTGTGCAAGGACTTATGGGAGCCGGACGCCAAGCTGGTGGAGTGGTGCCGCTGATTAAGAACTTGGGGGGTGGGGGGGTCGTTGGATTCCACTGGGCCCAAAGAATCAGCTAAGAACAGAGGTCAGCACACATTTTCTGTCGTGAGCCATATAGGAAGTCTTTGAGGCTTTGTGACCCAGTCAGTCTCTGTTGGAGTCACTAGTCATTCTGTCTTTGAGGCACAAAGTCAACCAGATAATAAATATGTACACGAATGAAGTGACTGCGTTGCAGTAAAACTTTATGAAAACCTGCAGTGGAACAGATGCAGTCCACAGGCCCCACTTTGCTGATACCTGATCGCAGGCAGCGGAGTGAGAATAGAAATTCTAGATGCCTCTGCGGTGAGCTTTCAAGGGGAGGGCGCTTGGGGAGTGGGGAGCAGCAGCGGAGAGAACACGAAATCTGTGTTTGGGGGCCCGGGTTTGCAACCTGGCAGAACTCTTGCCCGGAAGTCGTTAGCATGCCAGGCAGCTCACTGCCCCTCCTCTCCCGGGGGTGCTCCGGTTTCAAGTCCTACAGAGATAAGGCCTGAGGCACAGTGTGACTCCTCTGTAGTCTCACAGGACCCCTAAGCTCAAATCTTGGAGGTCCACAGGGTGGAAGTGATAGACCTATTCACTGCACATGACAGAGCTTTCTGTCCTGTGTACGAACGGGCAGAGTCCAGGTGGTCCTCTGTGATGGCCAACGGCGCCTTCTCATGACGTGCCTTGTCTACAGGTGGCCTCAGCTTGAGCAGCTGGGATGCGGGCTGCATCCAAACACGGTGGGAAGGGTCGCTGAGGAGAGGGTTCTGCAGCTCTGGCTTAGATTGGGCAGGCAGGAGCAGCCACGGCGGGGCAGGCCCAGAGTGGATGGCGTCCAGGGCTGAAGGACGAGGGTCTCTGAAGTCTCTGTGGCAGTTCCTCAGTGTGACTTAACTGTCAGTCGTATATGAGCCGTAAAAACCCTCTGACCCAAGAAGGGGGAAACCCTGGGAGTAAACAGAAGTGAAGAGGAGGAGGTCAGGTCGGTATGCTTGTCACGGTGGGTGCCGTCTGCCTCTGCAGCCTCGTTGCAGCACAGGGAAGAAAAACACAGTTGGAGAGCGACTTCGGGAGACAGAGCAAACAGCCTCTGTTCAGCCCCGCTTGGGCTGCGTTCGGAGTGTGGCCCCAGACCAGCACCGTGTCCCTGTATCATGTAGGAGCTTGTTAGAAACGCAGAATCTGGGGCCTCGCCCCAGACCTGCTGAGTCAGAATCTGCATTTTAACGAGGTCCCCAGGGCACTCACACGCACTGGAACATTTGAAAAGCGCTGCTGTGGGCAACTTCATTAAAACCACACTTAGACAATTCCTTGTTCTAGTTGAGCTTGTAGGATAGAAACCAGAATTTTAACAAGGTTCCTTTTGTTCAGAAGACGCTCCTCAAAATCACCGTGTTGAGGCCGCCCCTTCTGCATGGGGAGGGGCCTTCCTGCTTGGGCAGTTTACTGTTGAAGATGAGGACTTCTTAAAAGGCCAATCAGTGCCATACCAACAGGGCGGGGTACAGTGAGGAGGAATATTTTACCATTGGTATTGTTTAGAATTGCTTGCATGTGGTGATAATAAAAAGCAGACCAGTTTTTAGTTGGGTTTATTATTTTTAAGTTCACTCCAGGCACTGTACTCCCTCACTGCTGATACCGGGCACACTGCCCCACGCTCCAGCCCTTGGTATGCCACTGAGACAGACAGACAGCTGCGGGGAGGGAAGGGTTCTGGTGGAAAGTACATGGTTAGCTCCGCCGACATCAGGGTTAATGGCTCCATTGTACCGAGTGTCCACAGACTGCAAAGAGAAACTCACTAGGTCTCCAATAGCAAATGAGCCAAGGACATAAACAGGCAATTCACTAAAAAGGAGATACATCTAGTAAACAAATACCTGGGAAATTATTTAGCTTCATGCATAATTTAAAAAGCATGTAATGCTCTACCTACTAGATTAACAAAATGAAAAATTTTAAGGCCAGTACCCACTGCCAAGGGCATACTGTATCTGGCACATTGGTATGTTGTTAATGGCATTGTGCATTGATGATTCCCATTTGGGAAGCAATTTGGCAGTGTGTATCACAAGCCAGTAAAATATTCATACCCTTTGACTCAGTAATCCCATTTCTTGGAATGTATCCTTAGGAAATAATCCAAAATATGGGAAAAGCCATATGTACAAGGATGTTCAGGGTTGTCATTTATAACAACAGAAACTTTGCAAGTAACTAGATATCCAAGCACTTGATGAATGGATTTACATGGTTGCGACACGTTGAGTACGTACAATAATGAAGCCATCGGTAATTACGGAAATGAAGAATACGTAGCAACTTGAAAAAGCACTGTCCGAGGACCTGGACTCTCCTTTCTCCGCCAGTCACACACCGCCAAGGTCTGAGATCAATTCGAGGGCGTAACTAGAGAATCAAGGGCTCTAAGTGTTACAGCCGCCAGGAGATAATGATGCAATTAAGCAGCGGCAATTTCGACCCAGGATGGTTCCTAGGGATTGATGGAGTCCTGAAAGAGTTTACGGCTTTGGGCTTCGGGCACAGCTGAGAGCCAGTAACCTCAGCAGGTCATCAGTCTGCATGAAAGGCCACAGGTTCTGTTCCCAGGTTTTCCACATTAGTAGCTCATTTAAAAATCTGTGGAAGAAAAAAGTGTGGGTATGACATTTATTCTGCCTCATATTTATAATTTTACACAGTGCCACGGCACTCTCGGTTTTAAAGTTTGTGGTTTTTACTCTGAGCTATTCAGAGGCTCTGTGGTGCGGCATCCTCTCACTTTGCTGAAGCACAGAGTTGAACATGAAGTACGTGGAAGCCGTTTCCGTAGCAGCCGCTCACCTTGCCAGGCACTTGCATGGAGCCTCCACCAGTTCTCACATAATTCCCACAGCGATGATGGGAAGTGGGTGCCGTCACCCCCATGTCGGAGGCCAGGAACCGAGGCCGGGAGAAGTCATGCAGGGCGTCTCCAGTGGAGCCCTGCTTCAAGGGCTGAGTCCGCGTTCTTGACTGTGACATAGAGATGATCTTCCCTGCGGAGCTCACAGGTGCTCTGAGGGACAGCAGAGACTCCGACCAGCACAGCGGACTTTCACATGCAGATGGACCGCCAACGCACTGCATATTCATTTCTCAGCACAGAATGACTTTTGTGTCTAAGTGGTATTGTCCATTGAATTAAATTTGAAAAGTAGGAAGTTGAAAAACTAAATCACAAGGAAGAGAAGATTGTTGGAAATGGTGTGAAAGTGAACGTGGTTTTTGAACATAGATTTCAGGAAGATAGGATTCCTCTGTGTTTGAATGCTGGTAGGGAGAAATAGGTTTTCACTGATTTTAACTATGTTGGAGTTTCTTAAGGAAAGACAGTGAAGAGGCCTTATGTGCTCTTCTGAAGTCTAACTTCATCCTCTAGATGTTTGTTCTGATGGTGCTGGTCATCTGTGGTCCCAGGATGACCCAGTGCTCAGACCCACACACAGGGCCACGTTGGGATGTCACTTCTGTGCCGAGAGGCATGGCCCATGGGGTGATCCCATAGCAAAGGCTAGGGAGAGAGGATGCGCCTGGAGCCTCCCCCCCCCCCCCGTCATGACCCCCTCTGGAGCCCAGCTACCATGCAGCTCACTCATCGAGAAAAAGTACAAACTTGAGCAACTCACTTGCGCACTGTGGGGCTGCTGTTCACACGGGTGGGTTTTTGATCCCTGTCCCTATTCTGGGCAGGAAGGCAGTGTTTCACATGCACTCATCCGTGTGGGCGGCATTTGGGGTTTGGCTCATCTCCGCATATCTTGTGTGCAAAGGAGGGGTTTTTAGTAAACAGTTCCATTACTTAGCTGTTCTTGTAGCTCTAAAAACCCAACTGAACTATAATTAAACTTTGACTCGGTGACTGAGCAAATAGGGCTAGGATTTTTTTTGTTTTTTTCCTCTCTCTTTGACCCATAGCGGACGTATCTAACATAATAGAATTTTCAGAGAAAAAGGAAGTAACTACTGAAATAAGAACTAAAAATACATTTTTATAAGCCTTGTGAAAAATAAAGTTTTGGCTTGTGGAAAATGAGTATCAGAGACCCTCACCTGTTATTACCGTAGGTTTATTTCTAAATGCTGCTTTTATTCTTTTCTTCCCAAGTAAAATTGTTACCTTATCAATGCAGAGAATTTTCCTTTTCTTTTTTTTAATGACTAATTGTAAGAACCAGGCATAGAGTGCATGCTTAGTGGAAGCTTGTTGACATGGATGTGTGTGTGTGCGTGCGCACAATTTTTCTCATTTTCAGCGCCTGATGACTTTTTTGTATATAACAGGTGTTTGAGATGGATATCTCTAAACAGTTACAAGCCTATGAAGTCGAGTACCATGTGCTTCAAGAAGAACTTATCGATTCCTCTCCTCTCAGTGACAACCAAAGAATGGACAAATTGGAGAAGACCAACAGCAGCTTGCGTAAACAGAACCTTGACCTTCTGGAACAGCTGCAGGTAGAATACGTTTATAAAGCAGCTTCCCGAGCCTGGAAAGCACGGTAGATCATTAGCGCACAGAAGCACCCGCCGGCTGGGTTTTCCTGTGACCGCAGGACCTCCCTCCCCTGGTCTGTTTATAGTTGGGATCAAAGGTACCCCCAGGAGAATTGGGCCTTTTTATTAGGGAGCAGACAGATTATCCTTTGCTGGAGCTTTCTGAGAGGCTGTCTTTTCACTTAACCTTTTTAGGAGACAGGCGCAGCTCCGACCTTGGGTCCAGGATGCTGAGGGACTATTCGCTGAATGCCAGCAATTGTGCTTTGAGTAATAACCAGAGAATCCAAGGCTCGGGCTTCTGTGATGAACCAGCAAGGCCCATGGAGGGCAGTAACACAGAAATCTACCCAACAGAACAAATCAGAGCAGGTGGTCATGATTTGGGAGTCCTTACTGCAAATGTTGGATTAACGAAGGACACTGTTCTTCCCTCTAGAAGCTCCCATCTTAGCCTGGATAAGTGTCAATGAGAACACACGGTGGAGAGGCAAACAGACAATGCATACGGAAGGGTGAGAGGGGCAGGCCAGGTCCCAAAAGCCAGCTCGTGCCAGGTCCGGTGTTATCCCTGCCCAGAGCTCCACACGGCACACACTGCTGACCCGCTGGGTCCCGATTCTGTCATCTGTGTGACGCGGACGGAACCCCTGACTGCTTAGCACAACCCCTTTACCAACCAAATGGGATAATGTAACCACACAGTGTACTTTTTTAGGGCCATAAATGGGTGGTAATGCCAAGGAATTGTTTGAGGGGTGTTTTTAAAAATTTTTGAGCTGCTGCAAAGGCAAATACACATTTTCCCCCACTGTGTGTATTTTATGGTGTCCCTGGGCTGTCCTTACAATAAGCTTTCCATCCTGACCTGAGCCTCTTATTTTTCTCCATAGAAAGTTGCCGCTTTGCAGACACGGGCTTGGCAGTGATATGAGAGAGGCCAGCGTTTGCGAGCTTAATAAACCAACCCTGTCCAAAGTGCATTCCTCCCAGCAGGGATTTACCCCAGGAGACCCTGGTGGCTATTTACTGTAGAGGAACAAAGAAAACTGCTTTCCCTGCCCAGTCCTAACTACCAGGCGCGTTCTGAAATTTAGCTTCTTTTCCTCCCTGTAAGCCCGAGATGTCCTGACTGACGATGTGCTTGCGCACAGTGTCTCTGGGGAGTCGGAGCTGTAACCCAAAGGGGGGGCTCCAGGGGACAAAGAGCCTTATCTGGCCTGTAATGGTCTGCAGCTGAGGTGGTGATTTTAAGTGACTTCCAAACAAACAGTATGCCTGTGAAGTAGAACCTGCTGGAATGTTTGTTTCTGACAAAGCTCAGATTTGCATTTGAAGCATTCGGCTCCTTAACATAGGCAGGACGGAAATAAAAGATGCAGTTTATTGGACTAATGCCCACGTGCTCTTTTCTTGTGGTGAAGGGTGCATGTGATTTCACGTTGCCTCTGTGATACTGTACCCTCTTCGTGACAAGAAGAAGCTGTGATGTTGCTGGGATCTCTCAATTGCCCCAGAAAGGCATCAGGCAGTCATGACTGACCTCCTCCTTGGAATGGCCTTTCTTAGAGCAAGTGGCTGTGCACTTCTGGAGGTGTCATTCCAGATGGCAGAGGTGCCCTCCCCCGGCTATTCAGAGTCCTTGCCTTGCTGGGGGCCAGGGCCGCCAAGATTCAGAAGATGGTGCTGTTCAAGAGTAGGGGCAGGGACTGCAGTATTTGTGGGTGCTTGAAGATCGCTTTCCTGTTACTGTCTGAGTCACGTGGGTTTACGGTCATTCAGCCAGACTACACACGTTCTGTAAGACTCACACCTCCTTTCTTTCTTTTCTTTTTTTTTTTTTTTTTTTTAACGGTTTTCAGAGTCCAAGGATAGGTGTGGATAAGTGTTCAGTATAATCTTTTTTGAACATAAATCTTTGCGGTTTTGTCAGGGTATCAAAATTAACCTATTTTCTAGCATTGTCCTGTTTGTATAGTTGCCAGACATACCAAGGTCCCATTTATTTTCTTGGTAAACACTTGATGCTGTCTGGCAGCCGGAGAGCATGGTGTTCAACCCACTCTGTCCAGCAGCACATACAAGACGACTGCAGAGACAAACCAAATGGTGCCAGATAATAACAGACGCACGTTTGTTTTGCTGAGCAACTGTGAGTCATCCAGTGACCGTGAACTAGGTGCTGTGGGAGGCCAGACCCACATGCAGGAAGAGACGTGCCTTCCCCCACCAAGGTCCTCCAGCCTCACTGAGGAGCCCGACATTCATGTAGAACACAGAGGGCCAGGCAGAACCGCGCCCCACTCACTGTGTGGCACTCTGGGGAATGCCGTGGGCCTGGAGGACGAGGTGGGCCTGTCCCAGGCCTTGACCTTGGGTAGGAACGTGAGGCTTACAGAGTGCTCCTTGCAAGTGCACACTGAGCGTGAGCACCCCTGCCCGGTAAGCAGACAGACTTAGCATCTCGGTCCTTCCTTCCTTCTATTTTGAGTGTTTCAGTGGCACAGCGAGACTGAGACTTTGAGTCGTGAGTTATCTGTCTGGCACAAGTGTCGCCTTGTTCAAAAACCTGTTTCCCTTGTTTTGCAAATGAGAGGAGGAAAAAATACACGTACCATTTTCCCCACCCAGAATAAACGGGAATGTGTACTGGGCTGGGCTGGGTGTGACCTCGTGACCCGAGCACTGCAGGATGTAGCGGCGAGCCGAGGACCAGGCCGGGAACGGGTGAAGGTCAGACTTTCTGTGGCTTTCTCAGGAAGCCCCTCACCTTCCCTGGAGCCCCCTCGGTGCCTGAGAAGCCGGCCCTGGTGGATCAGGAGGAGGAGGGACAGTGTTAGAAGCACCTGAGAAGTTCTGCCCCGCCGACCCCGTGTGCCAGGCGCCAAGGATACAGACTGGGTGTGAGTGAGGACACCGCTTACCATGGTGCTGCTGACCGGTCAGCGAGACCAGACATGTGGGCCTCGTAACAGATGCTTGGACATCGTGAGTGCCCCCGCACGTGCTCTGGGGGACATGCCCGTGTTCCTGGATGGGTGTAGCAGGTTACTGTGAGGAAGATAGAGAGGATTTTGGGTTAGAAGGCTGGTGCTGCCAGGGCCTTCATGTGCAAACCATTTGAACATCAGTCTGAAATCAGTCTACGTATGAGTATATGCATTCGTGTAAACAGGCCAGACGGTGCTGCAGTAATGAAGGAAGCTTGAAACCTTAGTGGCTTGGCACAGCAGGAGTCTTTTTGTCCCTGAAACCCCACCTCTTGTTCATGAAGCACTCTTTGCCCATATCAGACTATCTTCCCTGTTGTCAGTGATGGGGATCAGGCTCCCTTTGCGCTATGAAGCCACTGTCTCAGAGGAACCACAGCAGGGAAAGCAAATGCTGGAGGACCTAAGAGTGGCCCCGGCTTTCCGCAAGGGAGCCTGGGAAATGTAGATTTCCTGTGCAGCCAGAAGAGCTGATGATAAACACACAGGCTTTATCTCTGTCAAAATAGGCATCTGAAGTGTCCCCGAGGTTGAACAGAGGAGTGTACAGTGGGTCCCCCCATGTTATCATTGGACACTTCACATTCTCTTTTATTCCCCAGGTGGCAAACAGTAGGATCCAGAGCCTGGAAGCCACCGTTGAGAAGCTTCTGACCAGCGAAAGCAAGCTGAAGCAGGCTGCCCTTGCCCTGGAGCTGGAGAGGGCCGCCCTGCTGCAGGTGGTAGAGGAGCTTCGGAGGCAGACGACGGCAGAGCCGAGTGGGCTGGAGCCTGACCTCGCACAGCCCGGGCCCACGGGGGACTGACAGCACCAGAGATAGCACTCGCCAGAGCCTGGCTCCGAGGAGACACTGTGGCCCCGCCCTGACACTGTCCAGGCCTTAACAGAGAGGGACAGACCATGCTGGAGGGAGAGAACCAGGCATGACGCGTGCTTCTCAGGGAGGAAACTGGCTTCCAGCGTGCAGACTGTCCTGAACTAAAACTTGCAAGTCAGGGGGACAGATGTCCCGGTGTTTCTTGTTGTTTAGGTTGTATTCCGTCCCTTCTCCAGTCCTGATTGCTGTACCCAATAGGTTTAGATGGCATGGACGTGAATAAATTCACCTTTATGTTTCCGTGTTGTTTCCTCCTTCAGTATCACTGTGTTTGCAGCGAGCACTGAGTGAAGTCAAGAGCCGGAAGGAAGGGCTGGAGAGGAGTCCTCTGGTACAGATGTGGGTCCGTCCCTCTTCCGGGTTCGTGGGACTACAGCCTTTGGGTCACCGGCAGGCTGTGGGGCTCACCCTTGTCCTGGCCATGGAAGCCCCAGATAGCCATTAGGACACCTGGAATTTATCACTCTCCTTGGTATTTAATGAAGTTTGTCTTTTAAAAAAATTAGTTTTCACCCCTGGCTTAGTTCTTAAATATCAATCAAAGTCGCTGTATTTAAATGTTTTATGGGCAAATCACCAGTTTTTAGGTTCAAACCAAGTGTTACCAGCGAGCGGCCTGTGTTTGCAGAGTCTGCGATGTTTACTTCTCTGCGGGTTTTCATCGCCATGTTGCAGCCGTGTATTTATTGTTGCTGCTGTGTGACACAGCGCAGCTGTGTGTCCCTCTGAGTCTCCACCCTGGGGAACCGTACTCCCTGCAGGAGTCGCCGGCACATTGGCATTTTCACACCAGAGATCCTGGGACTTGCAAAAAAGCCATCAGCCCAAAATTGCAATCAAGTACACGGCAGCTGAGAGCAGTTTTTCAGAGGTGGAAGGTGTGTTTTGAATAGAACTCACGATGCAGCGACCCCGTTCTTCAGGATGATCCTGTACCTTCAACAAGCACAGAGCCGCTCACAGGTGGCGTGGCTTCATCTGGTCACCACGCGAGGCCTCTTCACAGGTGCCCTCGGAACGGGCTGTCGGGTGAGAGAGGAGCTCTGTAGGCACATGTCCCTTTGTGAGGGCAGGATCACTCTGGCCTTTGTCACCGTAGCCCCGTCTACTCTTTCTAGTCCACAGTGGCTTCTCGTGACTCAGCCGTGGGCGTCTCTTTAAGCCTGAGGCGAAAGGAAGGGTTTTCATATTGGAGGTTGCCCTCGAGCTCCCCAGACATTTCATAGGGTGACAAAAATGCTGTCCCCAGTGCCTAACAGGTGGCTGACACCGGGACCTGCCCTGCTGCCGCATCAGAGGATAGCAGTTCTCACAAACCAAGATGACCAGCCCAGGAGACTCTGTCCCAAGTCATCTGCCAGCTAGACCTTAGAGGAGTTAACATTTGAGGGCTGCCTTCCACAGATTTTAGTGTTGAAATGTTTAACGGTGTTGAATTTTGGACATCTTCTTCCTCAAAAATGTTGACTCTGCATTCAGTTAAAAACCAAGACAGCAATAAATCCATGCCCACACTTTATGGTGTCTGTTTTATTGGTGAACTTTGGAGTTTTCCTTTCAGGCCTGGGTGAAAGAATGCCTGGTGAGCACCAATGGGCCAAAGCGGGAACATCCCCTGACCCCCCAGAAACCGTTTGAGGTTTTTGGTCTCCACCTCCTTTGTTTCCAGTGCTGTGAACCAAGTGCTTGTTACGTTGTAGCACCTCCACACTGGGGTGAGTTGGAGCAGGAATGAACTACAGGTGACCGGGAGTGCTGCTGTGAGGCTGCGCCGGCGGAGAGAATACAAGCTGTGAGTACAGATTGGACACGCTCAGCCAGAAACATCCACAGAGCCAGTGTTCGTTACTGCTGAGGATTTGTGGAAGCAAGTTCTTAAACCAAGTTCATGTTCTGTTCACCCCCCCCACCCCCAACTAGAGGCACACACGTGTGTACTTGAAGGTTGTCCTTTTGATACCATTTATGTTCTCTTAGACTTGGGGCATTATCAGCCCTCAGGAAAACATGATTTCATAGAACACATAAAAATACCTATGCAGAGCACTCCGTCTCAGGCACCTCTTAGGAGTTCCGTATAGATAGAATAACAGTGTCTGTCGTTTGGTTTGGTTGTGAGTCAGAAGAGAAGAGTTGCTCCCAGCTCCACGAGCTACAGGATTGTTACAGGAATTCCACCCGACACTGTTGTGTGAGGAGCTGGAGAAAAGGTCCAGAGGGAAGTACTTGAATCAAGACGAGTCACCAGTTGGTCCCATCTGAGGAAAGCAAGATGCACTCAGTTGCCGGACTGGGCCTGGCCCAGGTGGATGAGGGGAGCTCTACGGGATGCTCTTCCGCACTATGGAGAATGCCTTTGTGCGTCTGCAGCCTGGTGTCTAGTGGTGGGTCTGGGGCCACTGTGGGTCAACACACAAGGTCAACCCCTGAGAAGCAGAGGTAGAGCAGAAGAGAATGAGGGTAAGCTGGAGACTGCTGGGCACCCCGGTGTCTGTCTGTCAATTTTGACTCTGATGACCTTCAAAGAAAAATGGCCCTTGCTTCACTTTTGCCTTCCACAGCTCACACAAGCATGCCTTTAAGCCATGGCTGACTTCATACCACCAGGAAAGGGGACTCTGGGAAGGGTAGTTCAGGCTTAACCAAGTGGAGCTGCTACACACTGCCACAGTTAATTTTGGATCTGCCTGATTCAAATGATAGACTACCCCCTTCGTCTGCTGGCCTCTGTCAAGTGTTACCAAAGGTTCTACAGATTAAGATCCAGAAAGTCCGTGGTATAAAGTAATTTACAGGACACATCATCTTCCACTGATACTGCCTTAAGGGTTTGGAATTGCTCAGAATAATCTTGGCCTGAGAAAGCCAGAGGGAACCTTCTACTTCATACTAGAAAACCACTTTTCACCTCATAGAGGAAAAACCTACGTGAGGTGAAGAGGTGTTTTCAGAATCACCTATTCATCAGCTGTGGGATCAGGATGTATCCTGTCTCCTGACTCCCTAATAGTCAACTCCCTCAATTCCAGTTTTTGGGAATCATTTCCGGTGACATCAAGCAAGATTCAGAGCAACAAAGATCTGCCTCATTTTCACAAAGATGATCTATATAAAGAGTCCAAATCAGATTCTCTCCTAAGGTGTTGAATTTTCATAAGTTAAAACCAAGGGGGTTGGGAGGGGCTGTTCTCCAGCTCACTTCTGTCTGTGGACTTGGACGCTCCTTTACCAGCATCCAAGTTAGGGATAGTGTTTGCTCCCCATAGTCATTTCTTATCTTCAGACTTTTGAAAACCCTTGCATTGTAATGTTTTTAAAACAACACAGAATTGCCTTTGGTTTTATAGAAGTGAAACTTCCCAATAATGTACAGTGTTTCACTGACCATCTTTGGGAAGGATTAGAACGATGAGGGAAATAGAACACGATGATGAGCTGTGGAACAGCCACAACAGTCATTCTTTAGACAATTTGAAACTGAAAACAAAAAGATGAAAAGGAATACCCTTGGTCACCAGGCTCTAGAGTATCTGCCTGTGTGTCTCTAAACTGAATAACCAACTATTTTGGTTGTAAACCCTTATTGGCAAAGTTTGAATTTATACGGCTGTAAGCATATTAAAACATTCTATACATGAGTAAGTTTTATCATAGAATAGAAATTTTAAATGAGGTGAAACAAAATAGTTTTAAGATATTAATGATTAAAACATGGTTTTTTAAAAATGTTTAAATGTTTATTTTTGAGAGAGAGAGAGAACAGGGAATAGGCAGAGAGAAACGGAGACACAGAATCCGAAGCAGGCTCCAGGCTCTGAGCTGTTAGCACAGAGCCTGATGTGGGGCTCAAACCCACAAACTGTGAGATCCTGATATGAGCCGAAGTCAGACGCTTAACTGACTGAGCCACCCAGGCACCCCAATATCCAGTGTTTCAAAGGAAAGCAATGAACACCTGATCATTTCAAATATGAGTTTGAGATTGATTCAGTAGTTGAGTTATTAGCTTCCAAGTTCAGCCCACTTTGATTGTTGGTTATTTTTTTTAATGTTTATTTTTGAGAGAGAGAGGACACACAAGCAGGGGAAGGGTAGTGAGGGGGACAAAGGATCTGAAGCAGGCTCTGCACTGATAGCAGAGAGCCCAACATGGGCCTCGAACTCACGAACCATGAGATCATGACCTGAGCTGAAGTTGGACGCTTAACTGACTGAGCCACCCAGGCGCCCCCAATTGTTGGTTTTAATGCAGTGTCAAGGCTGGAAAAAAGATGGCTTCCAAATTCTAAACGGAGGAAGGGCACTGCTGGTCACATTAAATCATGATGCTCGTTAATTCACTCTTATTCACCAGTTATGCAAAGGTGTTTGTTGAAATCTGGCTAGTAAATTTCCATTCCATCTTCTCTCGAGGCAGACTAATGCAAACTAATTGAAACATGTTACAAATTTTATGTTTTTTTACCAGAGGACTTTAAAGCACTCAAACTCTTCATTTGGAAAGTTTTGAGCAAGTTTTAAAAGCATCTCCAAGACTGTTTGAGCAACGTTTACATGGTTTTTGGCCAAGAGCTGACCTAAGCAGAGCAACACTTCCAAACATCCTTTTTCTGAAAAGCCCTTTCCACAGGACTTGTCTGTAGTCTTGGCTTGGGCTCCCCCACTTGGAGCCCTCCATTCTCAGTAACAGTGCAGGGGTGGAGGGGGTTGTGGTGTGTGACTCTGTAGAGGCTGCCTGCTCTCCTGCCTGGTGCCTGTTGTAGACACGTGGTCTCTCGGCCGCCCCTTTCCGGCAGCCCCTCGGGATCCCAGAGGTGCTGGAGGGGAGCAGAGAGGGGCTGAATGGTGAGTGTTAAAAATAGCACCGGTGATTCACTGCACTTTATTGCTGCTGTGCCCTTTCCTCAGAACCACTGAGATAGCCTGGACAATCTGACAGGGAGAGCGGGAACAGCTTTCTCACATTCTTTCTCCCAGCCCGAATCCTCTGCTTTTCCTCACCCTCCTGCCTATTTCCTTCTGCCACTGTTTTCATCTTATTCCATATTTAGGTCTATGTTGACCAAGTTCTATGTTGACCAATTTTGGGTGTCTTCTTCCTGCTCCTCCAGACATTTCTTCTTCCTAAAACCCTGTGTTTCTCATTTCTCCCAACTGTTGGAGAAGCTGACTCTGATTACTGTTCAGCTCTGGCTTTGGCTCTCAGCACCCTGCAGGGTGACCTCCTGAGGCACCATCTT